TTTATGAAATTGATAAATAGGTAGATTTCATAGAGTAGAACATTTTAATTAGTGGTCCAAATTTGGATCCGTCATAGAAAAAAAGTTCTTAAACGTGAGAAATTTACTAATTGTAAATTTTGATTTAAATCATTTTATTTCACAAATAATCTGTTGTCAAATTATTTTTAAAAATATTCAACGTTCCAAATGAACACTTTTTTATTTTGCTCGAACTAATAAAAATTACCGTTACATGTGTGAGCCACTGTATTAGTCAGTAATGGTTTTTACCAAACGTTCGAAGTCCTACATGCATGACACTTAAAGAATTAAATCACGTGACTTGTTCCATTTTGAAAGCTTGAATTTAAATTATCGTTATCGTTATACTAAAAACGTCGATTTACGATTCTTTTCATTAAATCACGCGACTTATTTATGACCTGTCATGTGATCTATATAAGTACAATAATTATGCTAATAAATCAAATTTATATATTTCCTCTAATATACCATATTATAAATCTTTGAAAACATGAAAGAGAAGATCAACAATAAGAAAACAATAATAAAAAAAGAGATATCCAAGTTCTATTGCCAATTTCTATAAAATTGTTATAGTTCAAAGATAAGAGTAAAAAGTAAAACTTAAAAGATGAAGAGAATTTCATAATAAAATAAAGAAAATATAATAAATACATTGCTTTGATATTTTTATACTAGTATAAAGTAGAGTTCCAAAAAAAGGCTTGCTCAGTTTGAGCTTAAACCAGACTCAAATCTGATTAAAAGTCCAGTTCAAAAATTAGAATCCAATTAAAAGTCTGGCTTGAGTTCAGTTCAGATTTTGAACTAGACTCGAACTTGATTAAAAGTCTATTATGAATTTTTTGAGTAGTCTGCTTTTATTTTTTATTTTACACTTTTGTTGCATTTTCCATATTCACAACTACGTATATGAATATTATGATTACTGCCTCTATAGCAATAGTATTTGATTAAATGTTCTAATTGAATTTTGTAAATCTTTGTAGCCCTCGAATGATCATAATAATTTCATTTTTCTTTTTTCGCTGGTTACCATGTTGATTAACGGAAGTTCAGATGAGTATGGTTTTTATTATGTATATTATCTCTCTATTTGTGTAAAGAGCTATTATTACAAATTATCCAGATTAATTATATAATTCTTAATGCTAATAGTTAATAGTTATCCATAAAATATCTGCTTCAACGACTCATTATCGAAAAACGTTTTATTAGGATCATATTTAGCGCGAACCTTTTCAAATGTCTCGAGTCGATTCCCTAAACTTTTTCGAAGGGATTGGTTAATGCCAGGCAAGGATTCCCATTCTTTAGCCCAATGAGTTCTAGTATAAACATTAATTAGTATGAGAAATATACTTTCAAATCAATATCAATGTAGAAAATCTATTTACCCAGCTTGGTATTTACTAGTCCATCGTGCGCTTGCCTCATTCAAAAATTCAACCCAGCTATCACTCTTTATACTACCGATTTCAATGAAACAATAAATTGCATTCGGATCGCTGTCAAAGGCCGGCGATAATAAAGCAGCAGAAGCTCGTAGAATTCTAGCTGAAGCAGCAAGGTTTATAGGATACTTGTCTTTGTTCGCATATTCAGCGATCTGATAAAACAATAAATCCAATTAAATAAAGAAATTTTCTATTATAAAAACAGAAATAATATAAAGCCCTACCTTGTTTATAAGAAACAAAAGTTCAGTAGCGACATTCGTAAAATCCGGGTCAACTTTGAATACAAATCCTGCATCATCGTATCGAACAACTTCAGTTCCAGTTAGATAATGAATACCATCGATTGCTGTCATCACTTCGCTTTTAAATGTCTTTTTAACTATTAACCATTGTGCTGCCTTTATAGCTGGAGTGAGCTTAGGATGTTCTAGAAAAATTTCCGCCGAGCAATTAGAGGCTTGAATTAAAGCATCGTTAAGGATTTTGTTAAGAATTGTTCTCGTTGTTGTTGGTGGATCTTGTGTTCTGACAAATTGTTTTATCCAAATGTCGTCATTTGATAAATCAATACGACCTTTGTTGAATGGCCAATAAAAAATCTCCATAGTGTCCGAATTGTCAAAAGCTTGTTTGATGTTTGCAGGTTTAAGCCCGTCTTTAATTGGGCTTACAATATCATTCATGCGTAGGTTAAAAAGTGGTTCGACGCGAAAAGTAATGGAATAAACAATACCCAGTAATCCTGTTATAAATAAAACACTGGTTATTAATCAACATGAAAAGCGTGCGAATAACCAACCTCCAATAAATTTACCTAAATTTACTCGTGCAGCATTGAGTTCTACTGGATCTTTTTCATTAGAAAATTCTTGTAATTCACCATCACCAGTAACTATTTCTAGCTTGACAACCAAGTCAGAGATACTTGGACCTCCGGTCTTGCCACCATGACCACCAACTGCAACAATACCAGAAATTCTAAAGGTATCTGGTACGGTCATTGATTCAAAAGCTAAGGGTGGATTATTCTTCAATAGTGCTTGTTCGACTGTTTTGATTTGTGTGCCTAGATATGACGCAAAAAGATAAATACGTATATGTATTGGGAATCTATCGCGTTGTGAATCTGCTTAATAATCTTTACATCAAACAATAACAAATATAATACCAGCTAGTGCAGTAACAGTCCATCCATATTTCTCTGTCTTTTTTATTTCAATAACTTTATCTAGATCAGTCACAACCACTAAATAATCTTTGGTGACCGACAGCGATGACCACGAATGTCCTTGACCCGCGCATCGAATCTTTTTTCCATTCGTTTTCGCGTTTTTTACAATGTCTTTAAGATTTTCAAGAGAATTTGGTCTAAAAATATATTGTGGTGTAATCACATTACCGAACCAAGTAGTAAATGATTTTTCTGAAGTTGGAGCGAAAAGACGTTTGAAGTGTGTGATTAATCCGTCTCTTCTTACGGATCTGGATTCGTAAGTTTCAAAAAATATCGAAACGAATAATATAATGAATATTAATATCACGGCTCTATTTAAATAAGCCATATTTTTATCTCATGAATTGTATAATTGAAATTAAATCTGAAAAGTTTCAAATGTAAGAGATTCTAAGACAAGCATATTTATATTACTAGCGGCGACAACGATAATAAATGCACAGTTTCTTAATTGACAAATGTAGACTTGCAATTATTTCTACGTATTTATTTGACAAATGCAGACTTGCACATTGCAACCCATTGATTAGCTATAGCGATAGTATAATAATGTCTATAAACTAGCGCTAGTGCTTCGGGCATATACGTACATGAACGTAGTGTTTCCGAATTAGGGTTTCTGACAATTTCGGATTTTAAAAATAATTTCGCCCGAAGCACATGGATTACAATGTAAATACTTATGTAGTTGATTCACAGTACAGTACTTTCTTGTGTTCTATTTATAGGGACAAAAATCGGGTTGAATATACATGTACATGTACATTTACGTATATTGCATTTCTCGATACATGGATTACATACGTACGTATTGTACGAGTTTAAATTTACACTAAGCTCCCAGCCTTTTTTATATAACAGACGGAGCTAATTTTGATTGAAATTATAAAAACGCAAGAAAATTTTTATGAATATTTAGAGAAAAGCATATTTTTTACTTTTATATTATAAGTGGCATGTACAAATACATGTAATATAATTATATTAAAAATTTAATACAAAAATTGCAATTAGTTTATTTAATAATAAAACAAGCATCCTTTTAGCAATTTGTTTGCATTTTAAGAAATTTTTGCTAAACATACACTTATCAGTTCTGCCCAATAAAATATTTAAATAATTTCGCCATTTTTTTTTAATTACACGATCTGTTGATTTAACTTCACTGAAGCACAATTTGACGCTAATGAATATTTATCATATGCACAATTAATTTAGTATTGCAATTAGAGTTAGAATTATATAAGCATAAAATACTATTTTTTATTTTTTGTTTAAATATTATAAACAAGCAGTGATAGCAATAGATGGGTTTAACTGTATGTCATAACTTGTCTTATAAAATATAATGCAAAAAATTCAGAATATTTTAAATTTGTATAATTTTCCTGTGAAAAAATAATCAAGCAAAAATCCGGTTTTTTTAACCACAGGTTTAGTCAAAAAAATTGGGAAAATAAAAATTATCTGATAACATTTTCTCATGATCCACTAATCAAATCCAGACAAAAAAATAATATTGATTAATTAAGATAAAATAAATCGAATAGTGAGATAATTATCTAAATTGGATTTATAAATTATGAGATATCATGTTCCAAATTTACTGGACAAATTTTTATATTTTTTATTTTTAAAAATATATTAATATTTTATGACTCACCAAACCAAATTGTATAAGAATAAAACCATATTTAGTGAATTTTGTGGTGAATCATGAAATATTGTGTTTCAAATTAAGTGTTCCAAATTAAGTGTTCCAAATTAAATTAATTTTTTGAATTAATTCAGCAAATTTGAAATATAATAAATTTATTAAAACTAGATAAATTTAATAATATTATATTTGAAATAATATATTTAATTTTGAGCAAAATTGATACAATAACTTTGAATTTTATAAAATTTTTTGCAATAATAGTTTAAAAAAATCAGCAAATTATCCAGAAAAAATAAAAATTCTAATTTTTTGCAAATAATTCACTATTTTTAAAAAAAATTTTCTAATATTTTTCTAAACTATAAATTTTTTATATTTAATTCCAAATATTTATCAATTTATTTAGTAACTTTTAATTTAATTACAAAAATGCTATTTTTTTCTAAAAAATTTCAGCAAACTTTTTGAACTTTCTATTATATTTTGAATTATTTCTGGAATTAATATTTTTATAATTATAATAAATATTAATATATGTATATTCAATTAAAATATATATATATTTTAAAATATTTTGTATTTTATTTTAATTTATTTTTAAAAAAATTATAATTTTTATAATTTAATTATTAACTAATATATTTTTTTAAAATTATAAAAATCAAAAAAATATATATTTATTAAAAATTATAGTAAAAATATAAACTTTTTAATATTTATTTAAAATTTTTAAGATAATTTAACTTTATTATTATATATTTTAGTTTAAATTTAATAATTACTTATAAAATTATATAATAAAATATAATAATATTTTGAATTTTAAATAAAATTAATAATTAATTATTATTAATTAAATTTGAAAATATAATTAACTCAAATTTTAACTAACTAAACAAATATATAATAATTATAAAATATAATTAACTTTATATATAATTTGAATAGCTTGATCAAATTAAATCTAAAAAATATGAAAATATTTATGATAAATATATAATATTATTTTTATTTTAATATAAAAATAAAAAATCTTAATTAATAAAATTGAAAACTTTTATATAAAGTAAAAAACTTGTATTTTATTATATAATTTTTGATTAATACTATATTTATTAAATATAATATTTATTTACTTTATAATAACTTATTAATATAATAATAATACTATTATATATTTGAAATCTTTAAAAATTTAATTATTAAACTAATTATATTTAAAGAAATACTAATATATAATAATTATTTTATTTTAATAATAAATTTTTTTTCAAAATATTATTTTTTATAATATAAATATTAAACAATTATTAATTTAAATATAATTAGAATAATTTTATTAAAATATATAAAATAATTTATTTTAATATAAAAATAAAAATTATTTATTAATAAAATTAAATATTTTATATATAATAAATTTATTTTTTTATATTTTAATTGATAATTTTTTTATCATTAATTTTTTTAATTACTATTATAAATTAGAAAATATAATATAATATATATTAATTTTCTTTAAAATAGATTAAATATATGCTAAAAATTAATTAAAATCATAAAATTCTAATTTTAAAAATATAAAAATTTATTTAATTACTTTTGGAAAAGAACAAAAATTTTTATAATTAAATTAGATATATAAAATAAAATATTTTAATTCAAAAAATTATTAGAAAAATATTTAGATATTTTTAGAAATTATAAATAATAAAAAATTTTAATTTTAAAATTGAAATATTATCAAAAATAAAAATATTCTGGTTTTTTAAATAATTATTATATATTTAAATTTTATACTTATATATTAAATTTATTTATTTCTAAAAATTTGAATTTTTCAATTATTTTTAATTTTATAATTAATTTTTTTATTATTTAAATTAGTTTTAATTTTGAAATTATATTTTTGTTTTTTGAATTTAATTTAATTATTAAATTAAAAAATCAATAATTTTTTATATTTTGAATTTGCTTTAATTTGTTAATTTGTTTTGTTTTTAAAATTATATATTTTCGATTATTTTATTTATTAATTTTGTTTTAATTTTAAAAATTAAATATTTATTGGCTAATTTATTAATATTTATATTAATATAAATAATTTTCAAAATATTATTTAAAGACTTTAAGTAAAATAAAAAAATATTTTTTTCTAATTTTTAAATCTGAGCAAATAATTAAAAATAAAAAAACTTTAATATAATTAATTTTAAATTAAAAAAATTAATAGTTAAAATAACTAAAAAATTTCAAATCTAAAATTAAGTTTTTATAATATAATAAATATTTATTAGTTTTAAATATAAGTAATATTTTATAATAAATTTTAATTTAATATAATATATTTAATATTTATTTCTATAATTAATTACTAGAATTCAAAAAAATATAATAAAAATTATAATTATTATTTTATATTAAATATTTTTATTTTATTATTATTTTTATATTATATTAAAAATAATTTTTAATTTTTAAATACTATTTAATGTATATTTTTTGTTTGAAATATTATTGTAAAAATATTTTTATATTTATAGTATAAATTTTATCAATTTTAATTATAAAATTATTTTTACAATAACATTTTAAATAAAAATATTTTTCAAGTTGACTTTAAAAAATTCAAGAAAAATATATATTAAGAAATAGATCATTATTTGTATTTTGTATAAAAATAAAAAATATTAACAAAATATAATTTTTAATATATAATGATTATTTCAATTTTTATTGTATTTTATTATACTTTTTTGATTCTAATAATTTCTTGTAGGAGTATGATTTTAACAGGTTGCAATTTGCATAACTACAAAAAAATTTATAATATTTAATTCAATTTATTGTTAATATTATCATTATATTATGTATTAAAATTACAATAAATCTATTTTTTCATGTTTTTAATAATATTATTAGTTAATTATAAAATGTAAATTAATAATTAAATAGGATAAATAAAGATTTAATTAAGTTATTCAGAAATCAATATAAATAAATCAATTAACGAGAAATTAAATGAAAACAAACTTTAATAATCATATGTTCTATAAAATCGAATGCATTTTTTCTCTGGTAGATTTTCGGTAATGTGAATTTTTCCATTTTTACGTAATATTGGAATTTTTAATTTTCAAGTTTTAGAATCAAAAATATATATAAAAAATAAAATTAACGTTTTATTGATATCTCAGGAACCAATTCAACGAATTCACTACCACTCAAGATATCACGTAAACGTTAAAGTTATTTGAAATGAACCGGAATATATAAAAAATAAATTTTACGTTTCTACGCAATATCTCAGAAATCAATATTCTGACTTAAATAATATTAACACAATTCAATTCATTATATCAAGACAAAACAAACGGTTCTACTTTTATTTAAATTGAACCACTGGTTCCTGAGTTATCACGTAAAAACTTTAAACGTTATAGTTTATCTCTTCCGATTAGAAATCGGAAAAAATCAAATTTCCGAAGAACAGATTCGATTTTTTATGGGGATTTGGAGGCCTTACTTTTTTGTATTTTTAATGATCAAGAAAAGATGACATTTGGATTTCTTCAGCAGCAATCAATATTTGCTTTCATTTTTTGCAAATTGAATGTCTCGGTTTTATTATTACTATATATACATAAGTTTTAGAGCAAGTCATATCACAAATCTATATTCATAATTGAATTTAATTATTAACATTCAACTTTTAACATCAGCACGGAAAATAATGTGGACGTGTTTTTTGCTTATATCTTAATTAGGAAATTTTCACGACTTTTGAAAGATTTCCTAATTAAGATATAAGCAAAAAACACGTCCGCCATTATATCCGTGCTGACTGTACACACTGGCGAGAGTTTATTTCGTATAGATATTAAAGCGTATTTGACCATAGGCAATTGCAGACTCCAGAATTATCACCAAAATTAATAGTAAGTTTTCGCTGGTTCTAATGCGGATTACGACTTAAGTATTCTTCTACACGTATTTCGTGGCTTTCGCTACAAATAATCGAAATGATACATACGTATGGGTCCAGTCACACCTGCGGACTGTACTGCAAAAGCACTAATTGTGCTGCTATTTATTCGTAATACAGATAAGATTCCACACAAGTACATTCTGTTATGGTATCAGTGATTTTGAGTTTATTTCACAATGAAATTATGTTTGTCGGCCGTGATTATTACAACATATAGGTTGCAACATTAGAACTAAAGCTACATGTCATAATTGTTTTTAGCAATTAACACATATTAGAAAGGAATTACGACATTTTTCATAATATCAAAAAGGAATTACGGCAAGCAACTCTAATTACAACAAATACAATTTGCAAAAACAATTACGGACGGCAACTTTGTGTGAAAAATGAAGCATAAATGATTTTATGATCTTTAATTAAGTATAAGTGGTTTAATTTGGCATTTTGGCTTTCAATCTCTGGCTTAAAAGCCCAGAATTATGTCAAAACATTAGATACACATATTAAGATGTTAAATATGTGTTTATTTTCATTGTCGTTATTTTCGTCGTATTCGTAGTCATTTTTTTTCAGATTTTCGTCTGAAAATGTTTTAAAATTCACTGATTATATTCGTCAAAATAAACGTTGTGTTAAGTCAAACTTCGTACTAAGCAACTTAATCACATCTAATCAAAGCTTAAGTTTATGTATAAGTATTAGGTTCTTAAACGGTGTATGGTACATACTTCTCAACTAAGTAAATTCAAAATTTAATCCGTAAATATGGTAGAAAAGGCATATTTAAGGATTAAATTTTATTTGAGAAGTTTATACATACATTTTATAAACATAAGCGTTTGATGACTTTAGAGGTATGTACATATCGATATCGAGTGCGTATGCAGATCTTAACGTCAATACATGTATTCTACTAACGCTAGGTTATTTCGCTTATAGTAACATTTTCTCTATACAATTATATTAAATATTATCCAAAAAATTGATGATAAATAAATGGTAATTACATGAGCCTAATCAATTTCATTAGCCAAACCACACTAGATTAGAAATCAGTACCTAAAAAGTCAAACCAGTAACCTTGTAAATCATTAAAAATACATCATATCGATATGTGATCGAAATGAACAAAAAATATTTTATTACAACACTAGTGTTACAGAATCAAATGTAAGGAGCTTCATGATAACTTAAACTTCTTGTCACGTGTGCAGCAACACGATAATAAAATTGGAAATTTACGATTTCAAAAAATATACAATAAACATATAACGAACTACGTACATGTATATAAAACCCGATTTAATGTTACAAGTATATAACTAAATGCCAAAAAAAATTAAATATTGCACAAATTTAGCGTTCAATTCTGATATGGTTTGTCTCACTGAAGCTATTTCATTCTCAAGAGTAGAACATGAGAGAGCATAGCGTTCATTGAGCTGAGTTCGTTCTCTAGAGTAGCAATGCGATATTGCATATTAGTAAACTCGAAATTATCAAATTTAGAATTAGAAGATATCTCTTTCGCTTCAACGGTTTCAGATACGAGAGGATTAATCTCCTCGATAATTCCATTTCGTCGATTATTGATCAAGGAGTCGCTTTCGGTTGTCACTTGAACATTCTCATACACATTTTGTGATTGATTGCTATCGATATTGCTGTGATTTTCAGTATTTTGGATCAAGGCCAAATAAATCGCCTTGGCCTGTCTGGCAAGATTATAGTATGTTTCTTTGACGTTTGGAGGCTCTTGCTTCCATGCATGACTCGCCATGGAAGAAACCTCTAGCTGAGATATGTTTCGATTGTTCCGAATTTCGTAGTAATAGTTAATTCGATAAATTATAAATGCGTTAGGCGCTTTAATAGGCTTTTTTTGTTTTCGATTCATAGGTTTTATTAAGTCATTTACGGAAATATTTGGCGGAAACGGAGGAAAAAATATATTTGACATAATGATTGGTACTTATTTTATTATTTTTTTGTTTCAAAGAATTTATTTGTCTCGTAGAATTTATTTTTGTCTCGTATATTTATATTACATGTATATTAAAAGATATTCGAAGACACTTCCCGACTTGGTAATTTATATGAAATTGAAAATTGGTTACGCCATTTTACTAATTGTCATATTAGTTAAGCGTATAATTATGGATCTATGTACACCCCAGTGTAACGCTTGCCTAAAACTCTTTCAGAAAAATGTCGTCATAATTTCGACGGGTTACACAATAATTGAATTTCGGTTTCAAAGTTTCAAAACTCGTCAGAATTTTGGCGGGCTATTTACTAATAGCTTATTATAATTTCGACAGAATTTAGACGGTCACTAAGAGATTTCGGCAAGCAACCTTAAGTGTAACCTCAAATATATATAAAATTCCAATATGGTTAGTGTGTTTTCGGAAAATTCTACAGTAATAAAGATTAATGTTAAAGTTGTTTTTAAGGTTAGGGTATGTAAAATTGTCTTCCCGACATTTTTTATAAGCACTCCAGACCAGATTTAGGTATTTGTTTCTTGTATTTTTTACATTCTCGCATTTTCATTTTTTTTGTTTTGCCGGGTTGATCAAAAATTTATGCATTCTTATTGGCTGTTATTTTATCTAACCAAAACGGATTGGGGTGTACATAGATGCACTCCAAGAACGTTGTACATGTATATAAACGCATAAAAAGTTGGAAAAAAAAATAGTGATTCCTTTTTTACAAATTAAACACAACTGTATATTACACCCATATACCACTACGATCCTTTCCATATACCAACCGTACATTCAGGCTTTAAGTTCTCAAGACATACTGACCAGTCGGAACCTTACTCGCTCCAAATTTGTGCGTTCTGCTGACTTTTAAAAAAAATGTGTCGATGAGCGAGACTATTCTTAACTTTCGAATTTCTTGTACTTTGCTTCGTATCAATTATTCATGCGGCTAACTTCTGGGTATGGTTATTTGAAATGGTTGTCTACACCAGCAAGTCGCGTCATTAGTTGTTCATAATTTCACAAATTTGGTGGTCAGGACCGTCGTCCTGAAGAATGGGTGAGAACCAATCCCGTTTTACTGCAATATTCTATGCTCCAACCTGGTCATTAATCAAGCTCTTCGATGCCACACGTTGTTGGGTGGCTACCGAGGCAAATCCGACACAAGAAAATGAAAAATGTGAAAAAAATGTCAGGAAGACAATTTGACGTTACTATTTTCTCTCTCCTTAGCTCTAACCTTAACTCAAATGATAAAAAAACCATTTATTCACAAAAAACACCACAAAGTTAGATCATGTGTTTGCCACTAAACTCGAAAACAATCCCATTTTAAACATGCCATCCAATCAAATTTCCGTAACACGATTATGTGGGGTGACTTATTGACGCGAGTACTGTTGTTTAGACAGAGTCCGACAATTACGTATCGGAGCCAACAAATCTATCGTTAACAAGTTTGATTTTATAGCTTATCATTGTGCATTTACTATGTCCCAAGAATTTTTGAAATTGTCCCATCCCATCCCTACTAAGTCCAACTATGTTCCGGCTATGTCTCGACTATGACAATACTGTCTAACATATCTTCATTTTTCATCGTCATCGTCTTTTTCAGATTTCATCTAAAAATGTTTTAAAATATATTAGTCGAAATAAATTTTGATCAAAAATTTGCGCAATCGAAGAATCGAGCTGTGAAAGTTGTGAAAGTATTACGTAGTTCTAATGATAAAAAGTAAAGTCCAAAAAGCGTGAATAACGATAAACAGTACTGTATTTACAAATTATAATGCACGGCATTGAACACAACATTTTTTATTTATATATCGATATTGTTCTCTTTCTCAAAATACAAGTACATGTATTGTGTAATTATATTGCATTATCGTTATACCACATTATACCACATTATACCAATTCCGAATAAAACATGTGCGGACCGTGAAAACTGTTCCGCTTTTGACCGCAGTCTTTAGCATTTTATAATGCAACATTACAACATTATCGTTATCATAATCGTTATGTGTAACAGATAAATATCGATATTGTATACACAACATATCGATATACAGATATACATGTACATCGGTATGCATGTATAAAGATGAATGAGACATAATAACGATAAATAAAAAAAATTTGAGAGTGCAGTCATCCCTCCATATAATCACGCCCTCGGGACCAGAAATAAATGTGATCTTAGAGAGATTGTGACTGCATGTATATGGAGTTCAAATTCCTTATGGCTCATAATAGCAGGAACTGTGAAGGTGTGTTTTTAAAGAGACGACTGTATACGTATAAGTAGTCGCTCGTTATGATATCTATATATAAACAATTTAGTATCCATAATTTTATGATTTAATTATAAATTAACAGGAATATTAGTTCTTTATTAAAATAAAATTACATTAATAATTTTATAATTTAAGATGATAAATGAAAATGAAAGGTTACCGTTACATTAGAAAGAGCACAATTGCTAAATATAGGATAAATCATCGATTTCTTGTAATGGCATATTTTATTTTATGGAATTGTATTTTATTAGAAACAGATCAAACTAATATTTCAAAGTAAATTTGTATACTATCCATAAAATAAGTTAATTTTGGAAGATATTTTAATTTTTCGTCAAATTAAGTTTTTGTAAGCCATGAGTAGAAATTTAAAGAACGAGTTTTAATTGTCACGGGACATTGTGCTCCGTGAGTAAATAAATAAACCATGCGATGCCAGAGATATCAGTGAAATCACAATCGCAGCGTTAGCTGTGATTTTTATCTGATATCTTTGGCATTGCGTGGTTTACGTATCTAGTACGTATATAGCACAATTAGCATACAAGACAAAAATAAAATTCTACGAGACAAATAAATTCTTTGAAACAAAAAAAAAATAAATACCAATCATTATGTCAAATATACTTTTTCCTCCGTTTCCACCAAATATTTCCGTAAAAGACTTGATAAAACCTATGAATCGCAAACAAAAAAAGTACCGAATACATCTATAATTTAACTATTACTACGAAATTCGGAACAATCGAAACATATCTCAGCTAGAAATTTCATCCATGGTAAGTCATGCATGGAAGCAAGAGCCTCCAAACATTTGCAGCAATACTTTACTCTGAATGATGGTATTGCCGAATGGATTGAATAATGAAGCCAATTTATAAAATTTCACTCGATATAGTGAAGTTAAATAGTATTCTCTTGATATAAGCTATAGTGAAGATTTTTCCTTAACCCGACGTCTTCACTATATATGAGTGAGTTGTATAGTGAAGATTTTTTTTATAAACTGATGTCTTCACTATATCGAGAGTGAGTTATATAATAATTTTTATTTAGCGCTCATTATAACGATATTTTTGAGCTTGAGTCGACCTGTCAGTATATAGGGTCTTGACTATATATATAAATGGAATTCGTGTCGATTCAAATAGTGTCTAGAGAGAAAAGATTGGGTTCGTGAATGGAAATCAGTAATTTGGAGTGATAAAGCAAGATATTTAATATTCAGAAATGATTCACGGCAATGTTGACCCCATGAAAAATATAACGCCGATTGTCTTCTTCCTAGTACCCTATAAAAAATATGTTCAACAAATGTTTGACAAATTCCAAATTGTTTGTTCAACATTATTTTACAACATTCATGTATCATTCAACAAAAGTAGCAATTTTTCGTGTGATACATTTTTATTTAATAACCAAAAATTCAAAACAAACGTCTGTTTTTGAAAAATAGCTTATATCTCGAAATTTTGTTTATGAAACCGTCTCTGATGTTCTAACAAAAAAGATTCCTTGTGAATTTTACTATATAATCTAACGCTAATGCGCGTTATAATATAACCTCAACTCTAACCTTATTCCTAACTATAATCGAAATGGTATTAATATTTTTATATTTTGTAATTTGATTGGTTACTCCTA